GGACTGGAGCTGGGCTGGCACCAGGGCTTTGTCCTGGGCGGGCGCTGTGTGGCTCAGCCCAGGAGCGCCGCAACCTGAAGGGTCAGAGCAGGGCTCATGCAGCCCAGCCTCCGCTGTCTGTCCATCCTCCCATAAGAACATAAGAATGGCCATACTGGGTCAGACCAAAGGTCCTGCCAACAGTGGCCAATGCCAGGTGTCCCAGAGGGAGTGAATCGAACAGGTGATCATCGAGCAATCTCTCTCCTGCCATCCATCTCCACCCTCTGACCAACAGAGGCTAGGGACACCATTCCTTACCCATACTGGCTAATAGCCATTAACCTCCATGAATTTATCTAGTTCTCTTTTAACCCTGTTATAGCCCCAGCCTTCACAACCTCCTTAGGCAAGGAGTTCCACAGATTGACTATGCACTGTGTGAAGGAGAACTTCCTTTTATTTGTTTTAAACTTGCTGCCCATTAGTTTCATTTGGTGGCCCCTAGTTCTTATATTATGGGAGCAAGTAAATAGCTTTTCCTTATTCACTTTTTCCATACCACTCATGATTTTATAGACCTCTATCATATCCCCCCTTAGGCTCCTCTTTTCCAAGCTGAAAAGTCCCAGTCTCTTTAATCTCTCCTCATTTGGGACCTGTCATGATTATGAGGGTTAGCCAGTAGCCTGAAGATTAAGGGGTTAACTACACCTAGCCAGGTGGAGTGGCCAATAGGAATGTAGGTGGGACTTTCAAACTGGGACAAAGGAATTTGGGCTTCTTTCTTTCTCCTTTTGTCTCTGGGTGAGTCCTCTGCAGCTACAGGGAGGGACAAGCATGTCTCTCTCTCTCTCAGAAACAATTCTTCACTTTCTGTAAGTAGGGTAAAGTTTAGGTAGTTTCGTTAGGCTTTATTGTTTTAAGGATTGGGTATGGGATCTGATATCTGGCACTGCTTAAGAGATGTGTGGCTTTTCTTTTTAACTAAGTTCTAGCCCATGGTATAACTCCTTCATGAGTATATTTTGTTACCTTTCCATCTGATCCTTATGCTTGCAACAGGACTATTGTTGTAATAATAAATGTTTTCGTTCTTTTTATTAACCTGGCATTGGTTACTGTGTGTCCTGATTTTTATAATAGGGGTGAGATTTCCCAAATGATCTTTCTCCTAATCTCGTTATTAATATTTGGGTGGTGGCATCGGAAGTTTTATTCTCAAAATCTAGGTTTTTAAGATTTTGGGGGAAGTTTTATACCAAAGCCTGGTAGATAAGGCTTTGAGGTACACTTGCTGGCCCCCACTTCTGCATTTATCATGCCAGAGTGGGGAAGGAGCCATGACAGGACCCGTTCCAAACCCCTAATCATTTTAGTTGCCCTTCTCTGAACCTTTTCTAATGCCAGTATATCTTTTTTTGAGATGAGGAGACCACATCTGAACACAGTATTCCATATGTGGACGTACCATGGATTTATATAAGGGCAAAAAGATATTCTCCGTCTTATTCTCTATCCCTTGCTGAAGTTTCTCCAAGCTACCAGGGCCCAGACGGGAAGGCGGGAGGAGGTGGTGGTTAATTGAGATGTGATGGAAGCCTTGTCCCAAACAAAACTCATCTGCTGGCTGCCCCTTGCTGGGCTTGCCCAGCGCATTTTTCTGTCCTTAGGGCTGGCCATGGACAGGGGCTGCTGGACCCAGCGCAAGCTGGGAGTGGGCCAGCCCCACTCAGGACTGGCTCGTGCTGGGTCCAGGAGCAATCCCCGCTGTGGCTCTGCAATTTTAATGTAGTAAGAGCTGGACTGCCTATGCACCTGACTCTTACTATATTTAAACTGCAGAGCCACAGCAGGGAGTAGCTCCCCCTGTTGACTAGTCAGAATTTCTATCGACTTCATATCTCCTCTATGATTAGCTGATTACTTGTTTCTTAACATCCCTAGTCCATGGACTGGGTTGGGAAATTGGTCACGTCTGTCCCTAGAATCCCATGTAGCTGCTCATACAAGCAAGCATGTTTGCAGCACCAACTCAGACCATTCATTTGCCTCCTTTGCTTTTGGTACACCTGCCTGTGCTACTTCATTTTCAGAGCTCGACAAATGAGTGAATCTACTTGCCCGTGGTGAGTACGTTTCAGCTGGTCAACCCGTTCACCGGCAGCATGGGTCTAGCGCATGTGCAGTGTGGGGCTGGCGAGTAGATTTCGCCACAGTTTGTCACGCCCTGTTCATTTTCATATGGCATTGCTGACTCATCCTTTGATAGCCTGATGTATCCTTTTTCCATCATGCCCTGTGCAGTCTTGGCATCAGTATCACCATTTTTTTGCTTGTCATACTTCTGCCTGAACAGATTCCTCTTACTACACAGCAGTCTGGTTTAGGATGTCCTACACTCTCCATGCTGGAGCTCGTTTGCAGCCCTGGGTATTCATGGGCAGGTTTGCTGCTGAGGTGTCATCTGCTCTGAAGTCTGGTTGCCAAACAAGAAATGAAATTCAAATTTTCCTGGGGCTTTTCCTGTGCACCTGGAGAACAGCAGAATTGAAAGACCTGGCCAGAGCAGTCACATCAGGGCAGTGTGGGATACCTCCCAGAGGCCAAGACTTTCATAGCGCTGAATCTGCACTACCCTAAAGTTGACCATGCACCTCGTGAAAAGCAGAAGTACCGAAATTAATAGCGCTTAAAGTTGGCAGAATAGGATTTGTGTTGTGTGGACTCATAGTTTAGAAAATCGGCCTAATATGGCTAAGTTTGATCTAAGCTCCTAGTGTAGACCAGGCTTTAACAGTAAGATTAGTCTCCTGGCTATAGGTGTCTGGTCACTTTTTGCCTGCAGCTCAAGATTGACCATAGGATAGTTGATTAGATGGGTCATTGGTTTAATCTACTGTTACAGCATTTCTGTTTGTAAGATTATGAAATTTAACTGTGATCATAAACTATTGTATTTTACAATGTTTCTTTAATTTTCCTTAATTCCTCCTGTGCTGTTTCTCTAGAGCCGAAATATACTATCTCCCATAAAAGGCAAAATTAACTAATTTTACTCTGGTAAACTAACTAGTTTATTCTTATTTTTTAAATTCATTGGTATATTTCTGCTCTTCATTCTTAGGAGCTGATTGACATAAAGATGTTGCAGTGCAAAAGAGTTATAAATGGCAAGTACAATATATTTTGATAAAAGCTTTCAAGTACCACTTTTATTCAGCAAATGATGAGAAACACACTGTTGTTTTGTTGATTTGGTAGCCAGAGAAACATAAGCAGTAGCTACAAGAGGTATTACTATTCCCATTCCATTGAATAAAGTTTTAGAGAGAAAAACTTGTGTTAAAAATAAGATGGAAAAAATAATTTTCTTACTATTAATCATAATTATTAAAACTAAAAGATTAAGATCTGACTTGCTTTTAACAAATTGCACGTAACTGATGAAATCTTAGAAAATGACTTGTTATGCTTAAAGAATGACTTGAGTTTATGTGTTCTTTACAGTTGAGTCAATTTGCTCAGTTTACAGAGTCTATTTTTGGTCATGTTTTAGCTCTTTCTGTCATAACAATAATAAAGTTTCCATAACTGAATCTTAGTTGATAATTTGTTGGTGTCACGTTATATAGACTAGAATGCAGCTTGCCTTGCAGTGCAATGTGTGCAGCTAACAGTACTGAAACCATTTTAAGTAATAGAATTTAAAGATGAGGACTCGTCAATATTTTTGAGTGAAAAACGTTTTGATTGAAAATGGTCTTTTTGTGATGGGAAATTATCATAGACAATATGAAACTGTGGGGCCCCCCCCCCCCCCACACACACACGTTTTCTGGCTTTCAACTGAACTGGAAAAATAATTAGCCTTTGGTAATGCTTAATTCTACCCTCTCCCCCGTTCTCTTATTTTTCCCCTTCCCCTTTTAGTGGCAAAATGGAAGAAAGGGGAGAGGATAAGAAAAGAGATCATTGTAGTGGGATTGTGAAATGGGGTTAAAGGGAAAAAATGAAACTAAGAACAATTTTTGAAACTGAAATTGAAGAAATCTCTCAGCCTTTTCAATAAATAGTATTCTGTTTCAAAACTAGCAAAATATGAAATGACTTACAAACTCTGTCTGCATAGGAAACCGTTTTTTAAACTGGCTTCTCTTGTGGACCAGCTCCTGCCTGCCACCCCATGCTGCTGCCTGTAATAGAGAGGCAGCAGTGTGGGGTGGGCGGGGTCTCCCCAGGAATGGGGCCAGAGTGCACTGGCTGCCGGCTTCGCTCCCGGGGACTATATAATAATCATGTAACCGCTAACATTTGATGCGGTTCCATGACTCTTCAATTACACACTATCAAACATCCTTAGATTTTACGTCCCTAATATTAAGGTATGTAACTGTGAATCTCACAGTAGTGGTGCTGTATATACCCAATAAAGTATATGCTGAAATTTTAACTATCGTGTAGCAAAATGGGGCTTATTTTGTTTTATTAATGTTTGTTTTAGTAACAGTTGAAAAGAAAAAATGAACCTGAATTGTTTGAAGATGAAAACGGGGTGACAAGGTGTATGTTAATTTTTAGGTTGCAGAAAGTTCAACTAAAATAGTGGCTTCCACTTCTGTACAGAGCCAACGGAGGGGGTCCTGACTTGGTTGTCATTTGCATGTGCTGCAACAAACATTTCAAATAATGACGAGTAGTGACTACATGAGAAAAGTGTGATGAACTAGACCAGAAACAAGGCAGATCTTAGGTATTAATGGATCAGATGGAGTACCTTCTGTATAGATTTTTAGCTAATTAGCTAAATTCCTATAATGGAATTTTGCTGTGCTAATCATTATAAAATAACACCGCTTATGTTAACAGTATGAATTAAAAGGGCTTAATTGAACCACTGAAAGCAGATTAAATTTGAGTCTACAATTATATGCTTATAAGAACTAAGGTTTGTCCCATGTAAAGGATCCTCATAAAACTCTATACACCTCCTTCTGCCCTTCAAAGTGGATCTTAAGTGATGCAGAGTGAAATTAGCAATTATGATTTCTAAAATATTTGTGCATGGTTTAGTGTGTCAGTGTAATTTGTCTAAAATTATTCATATTTTTGCTAAAAGACCACATTTATTTTTTCTGAAAACTAATATTAGATTTCATCAATTGCGGACACCAGATGTTAATCTATTTCATCTCTATTTATAATGATGTTTCATTAGGATGTTCTATGTGGCATCTGTCAGCTAATCACACAAAAAAGAATTTTATTGTAGAGAAGCAGTTAATGTCCCAACTAAACTGTGGAGTCAGTTTGCTGGTTTTTATATTAGTGAATTATTGGCTAGTTTTTTTAAAATTTTTTTACCAAACTTATAAATTCATGGCTGGGAAGGCCAGAAAAGGCAATTGTGATCCTCTAGTTCAGTGATTTTCTAACTTTTTTTTCTCATGACCTAGTTGAAGAAAATTGTTGATGCCCACGACCCAACATAATTTGATTGGATGTGGGCTCCGGCGTGGGGTTGAAGATAAGAACTGTGAGGTGCGGGAGGAAACTCCAGATTTGATGGGGGGTCCAGAGCTGGGGCAGAAGGGGCTTGCCATAAGTGGCTCCTGGTCAGCGGTGCAGCGGGGGTCTAAGGCAGGTTTCCTGCCTCTCCTGGGAATGCAGACCATGCTGCATGGCAGAACCAGCCAACAGCAGGTTCCCAGGCAATGGGAGTGCAGAGCTAGTGCTTGGGGCAGAGCGTGGAGCCCTGTGCATTCTGCACCCCACTTTCTCCTGCCTTCCCCCCACACATATCTAAAGTCTGGGCTTGCTGCCAGCTACCAGCTGCTTCTGGGTTGCAGCACAATCAGCAGTGCCAGGACAGCCAAGTAGCCTGCCTTCGTACCCCGACTGTACACTTGATCACCCTGCAGCAATGAGACCTGGTGCTTGACATTCCACAACCCAGTCACAACCCATAGTTTGAAAACCAGTGCTCTAGTTTAATTTCCTGTATACCACAGGCCATAGAACTTCCCCAAAATAATTCCTTGAACAGGGGTCTGCAACTTAGGGCTCTCAAGCCAAGTATGACTCAATATGGAACCAGATAAGGCTCTTTTGTCATTCCCAAAATACATGCAACTTTTTAAATTAAAATGAAAAATTAGACATTTTAAAACCACATAATTACTCATGTAGCTTGAATGCATGCATGAACTTGAATTTGACTGGTTATGATGTGAATGCCAAAGAAATGTATGAAAAGATGCAGCAGCGGAAGTCCTGTTAAGGAAAGTCTGTGAGTACAATGTTTCATTCATGCTATTAATCATCATATCAGTTATCAATAATACAGGCAGTCCTCGGGTTACATACAAGATAGGGACTGTAGGTTTGTTCTTAAGTTGAATCTGTATGTAAGTCTGAACTGGCGTCCAGATTCAGCCGCTGCTGAAACTGACCGCCAGTTCTGACTTACATACAGAATCAACTTAAGAACCACAAGCGTCCCCAAGTCAGCTGCTGCTGAAACTGATCAGCAGCTGATTCCAGGAAGCCCGGGGCAGAGCAACTCTGCCTTAGGGACTGTAGGTTTGTTCTTAAGTTGAATCTGTATGTAAGTCTGAACTGGCGTCCAGATTCAGCCGCTGCTGAAACTGACCGCCAGTTCTGACTTACATACAGAATCAACTTAAGAACCACAAGCGTCCCCAAGTCAGCTGCTGCTGAAACTGATCAGCAGCTGATTCCAGGAAGCCCGGGGCAGAGCAACTCTGCCTCAGGCTTCCTGTAGTCAGCGCTGGTCAGTTTCAGCAGAAGCTGACTTGGGGACGCCTGGGGCAGAGCAGCTGGGGTGCTGCTGAGTTGCTCCAGTAGCGCCACTCCTCAGCGCTACTGGACCAACCCAGCAGCACCCCAGCTGCTCTGCCCCAGGCCTCCTGATTCAGCCGCTGCTGAACAGTGAC